TTATCAGAAATATGTATAATATGATAGATAAACAGATAGAAAGAGTTGAACAGAAGAAGAGATAGAAATCTTGAATAAGATAATAACATTTAATAATGATGATGATGAAGAAGATGATTGAAGAATGAAAAAAGTTAGTGAATAAGTAATATAATATAGTGAAAGTTTCTTTGTGAGAGTGTATATAAAATACTAGCCAAATCAGAGATAGATCACATGATTGAGAACACTAGTGACATGCTAATTCACATGAAGCTAGAATGTATGTTATGATTATATGAGTGTGACTGAATCTGATGAGAAAGAATATGATTCAGAAGAATGTACAACTGCTGAATGATAACACAGCCACTTCTGAACTTGCTTACAAATGTAAAGAGGTCATAGCGGCCATCAATTAATTTAGTGTACAGTGTATAAGAAGCCGGCGTACGCCTGTAATCGTACGCTGGCTTAAGCAATCTTTGAATTACATTTATATGAATATAACATTTGAATCAGGTTCTGATCTGCTGGCATATAAGAGTCAAGGTCGGTATTTTCTTCACCGGGTCATGAGAACTAAAACTGAGGTGATTGAGATATGATTATATTGTAAATCTTCACTAATTCAGACTGAGTTGAAAATTACAGCACATGAATAAGATCTTTTGAAAAGTATATTTTACTCTGATATACAAGTTATTTCTCTGTTATATCAATTATTTATTGATGAATTTGATTTATATCAGAACATGTACTGAAGCTTAATAAGTTTTTATTTGATTTCTACACTGAGTACTGTTGAGCACTTAAAGTAAAATAATATTTTTATTCTAATCTTTGATTCTTATAATATTAATTTTTCTGATACAGTTGCTGTATTATCATATGACTTATTTACATTGAATTATAAGAGAGTTATAATAAATATTAATGAAAAAAAGATGAGAGTGATTGCATCTAGACTGACCGTGTGACCGTGTCTGGGACCAGGACCAGATTTTTTGATAGTCTCATTACCAATTTGACTGATCTCATTACACGGTTTTAGCATTAGATAGTAGTCTCATACTATCTCAGTGAGACTTACTGTCTACTCTTGTCACATTTTCCAAATGAGACCATGATTTCCACTTCTCAATTTAAATTATTTTTATTGCTTTAAATGACTTTAAATCTCATTTGAGTGTTATCAAAAAGTGTTACTTTTTAAAAAATTAAAAATAGTCTAAAAAAAACCTTAAAATGTCTAAAAATAGTAACTTTATACTAAGAATGAGACTAAATGGGACCAAATGGGATCACTTTCTCATTTTTTTCAAGTCATGATTCCATTTTAAGATCTGATATATAGTCACTTTACATGTTTTTTTGATAGCCAGTCCCAGCGGGATTCACGCCAAGAAATGTATGGGATCAGACCAAATGGGATTAAATGTGAAATTCATGGTTCTGACGGCCAGTCTAATTGCATCTTACATTGCATTTCTTGAAAATATGCTGCAGTATAATAGTAATACAGAGATTAAAGAATTAACAGTAAGAAGATTATACTGAAACTGCTTTATCAATGACAAGAATTGACTGAATCTGAACTATAATCTACACAATAACAGCTGATTTCACTATCATATATAACATCTTCAGGCTAAACTTAATGATCTGCTGAATCTCACACACAGAGACTAAATATATCAAGAGTAAGAAATAACATTGCAGACTGTATCTCTTTTTCAGATATATTTAAGTTTGAATTTGATCTCTTTTTTCTTATCTGATTCATATCATAGTAAGTTCACTGATATATCAGAGATTTCATACTTATTACTGATCAGTACTGTCATATTACTGTATAATTAGCTAGAATACTTCTGAATATTATAGACATTCTCTTTTTCTCATAGTTGAAATCATCTACAGTCACTGATCACTCATCTCAAGAAGTATCAGCTTCAAGAATATGCTTAAGCTTTAATTATTATATCTCTTATCTTACAGTGTGAGCTTAAGAAGAAATAACTTAGTTCAGTAATTAAGCAGATTATTTCTGCAGCATTTTCAGCATTAAATCAATCATCTATTGATCTTATTATTCAGATATATGCAGTCATTGTAACAAGTAATAGTCTATTCATGTCTCAATTTCTGAGAGAAAATGATTTTGAAGTGACTTATTAAATCATACTTACAGCTCACTGATAGCTACAATTTCTTATTAAAGCTGTGATAAGAGTAGCAGTGACATTTAAATTATTCTGAGCTAATTCAGTTATTAATCATCAGTTATTCTCTGCTTTAATAATGAACACAGTTGTTACACATATTAGTGATTATATCAAAAAAACAAAGCTTATATGATATATGAAGAATCAGCTGAATATGTATATTAATTTACACTATATTAAGCTGATTAAAGAATACACTGTATCTAACAACTGCAATGTTCTGACAGAAGAGAACAAGTATTAAGACTATAAGAATCTAGTGCAGTGAATAAATCATTGTAATGTGAAGAAGACACTGCTCTTATAGAAGAGCTTTTACTGTATCTTATAACTAGTATTAAGAGATTCTTTTAACAGATCTGACTTGTATCTGACACAGAAGATTCAACAGCTATATACAGTTTATTTAACACTATTTAATAATCTGCTGAGAATGAATGAAGAATCAGATGATAATAATGATTTACTGAACTACTCTATTAAGTTAGAGTTAATAAAAGATTATATTACTCTGAAGATTTTTAGTTATCTATTATTAAACAAGATATCAGAGAAAATCAGTATATAATTTATAAATCTCTCAAAGCTTGAACTTCTTTACTTCTTTCTTAATAAGCTGTGAGAATTCTACAATGCTGATTGAAATAAGTTCTCAGTTTTAAAACTAGATCACTGTTCAATTCTTTTCTATAATAAGTTAATATTCTTAGTTTAATATATCTATTAATCAATCAGTTATTAACTTATCACTAACTTATAAACCAGGAATTGTATTCACTGAATCTCTCTCATGAAAGAGAATATCATTCAATATTAAGAGACAGAGCTTGATCAGATTACAATTATATTTATTTATGAAATAAGAGAAGTTAAGTAAATTTTCTTTACACTTATTTCTCTACATTATATTATGTGTGATTATTTACTGAATCTGCTGATTTTGCAAGAGAATTCTGATAATTACACTATTATCAGACTGCTGATGATTTGAAAGACAGTATTATATAATATTTTAATACAGAATAGTGATAAAAATGATAATTATTTAATGTATGAGTCTTAAGTAATAAGATATTTACATTACAATTGAAATGTCTTATTTCTTTAAATAGAATAAATAGTTAATAAATAGCAGCTGTTGTACTGAGTAATAAATAACTAACTAGCTTAATAGTATTGATTTCACTGACAGAACAGTATACAGTATCTTATAGTATCTTAGTAGTATTCTGATAATAATATCTATCAATTACACAGTTACTAAGTAGTATCATGATAATATTAGAAAGTTCTGTACTGTCTTAACACTATCTTAATATTTAATATTTAGTGATGTATCACTGAATATAATGATGAAACATGTATTACAATCAGCAACATGTGACATGAGTGAAATGATGAATTCACAGTGTAATCACTGTAAATTAACTCTACATTCTTCCCGTATAAATATAAGTTGAGTAGTATATAATTAGAGTAGATGTAGTAATCATCAACACTCTCTCTTGTGAGAGAGGTTGAACATGGTTGATTGTTATTGTTATCTAACTAGTAGCTAGTGAAAGCTAAATATATGTGTGTGGGTCACGTGGGTTAGAGCTTGTGTAGTAGCTTCAACACCCTCTCATGCTACGCAGGCCAGTTAACCCACACAGTTAAAAGTGCCCAAATCATTCAAATCTGCAATAAAAATTAATTACAAAAAGTAGAGTCTAGTTTCCTCATAATGAAGCTTCATACATGAAAAAACATAAAAAATATGCAAGAAGAACGCTTAAATTCATTCTTTCAGTATTGGTATTACCCCCAGTTATTCTAACGCCGCGGGATCTCATTCTTATTATTTTTGTGGTTTTCATTGTCATAGGCATAGGCATAGGTCATCGGCATAGGTCATCAGCATAGGTCATCGGCATAGGTCATCGGCATAGGTCATCGGCATAGGTCATCATATGAGCAATCGGCATAGGTCATCATATGGGCAATCGGTGGCCTGGCATCATATAGGCACTGGGGCCTGGCATCGTTATCGGTATTTCCATCATTTTGACGTCGATATTGGCGGTCATCATGAGCATCATTAGAAGACTTGCTCAGTATTGTAGCATACAGGTGTAGCAGCATTATCATTATTAACCTTCTTTCTATTCTTTCAATCTGCAGGTCATTTCTCTGAGTGTTCAAATCAGCAGCTTGATTCATCATGGTCTTTCATCTTGCAGGCAGTGCATTTCTTCTTGATGTTCTTATTATCCTTCACATCCTTGATGGCATCTTTGTTATTCTTTGTGTCATTTCTGGCATTTTTATCATTCAACAGCAGGCGGAGTAGTATATCCCTGCAGAGATCAAGAAAATCATCTTCTAGTGATGTGATATTATCATTCTTTGCTGCATAGTTCATGCAATCTCTGATAAAGATTGACCACTTCTTGGTGAGGCTGTTGAGAAGCTTGTCAAAGAATATGAAGTTGGGGATATTAGCATATTCAAGACAGATATACTCAATGCAGATTGTAAGCAGATATTCTATGAACAAGTAGTTGAAGTCATCATAGATAGCAGTTGCACTGATATCATTGAATTTCTTGAACAGACAGGCTCTGCAGATTTTCACTCATTCTGAAAAGAATGCTGCTATGACATTTCATAGAGCAGCAGAACTTAGGAAATCTTGAAGTATAGTAAAAAGAGATTTGACTTCAATAGAAATAGAAGATCATATAAAATTGTATAGTCAGAAGTTGCATTTCTCTCAGAATCATTTCATATTCTTGAAGACATTCTTTAAAAGCTTGCTAGTGAGAATATCTTCTGTATAAGATTGCTTAATAATAAGCAGAATCTCTTCCTTTCAAATGAGATAATCAGATGTTGATTTGAGAAGACCTGGTTTTTGAAGATATTTAACACATTCACAGAATTCTTGAAGAACTCTGCTCAGAACAGAGATATCTTCATGATTCTGAAGATAAGCAGCAAGATCAGAGCTTAGATTATTGTCATCATTGACAGTAGCTGTAGTAGTAGAATTGCTAGAAGCTCTTATCTAATATAGTTCTTCATTCATCTGAGTAATACATTGCCTCAAGACAGCAGCTTCATCAGTTATATTATCATTATCTTGATTATTGTTATTGTGTGGTGATTTTCTCACAGTTATTAAGGTTGAAAAGAATTCAGGTGCAGTAGTTTGATTCTCTGAAGTCTCTTCACAGTTGATCAATCTTGTATTGACAGGCATTTGATATGAGGTATTTGAATGAAAAAAGCAGCTATTTGAAAAGCTTATTGTATGATTATTACATGGTTATAACACTTCATAGAAGTGCAAGAGCTTCATAACCTGTGAGAGAGGTTGAACATGATTGATTGTTATTGTTATCTAACTAGTAGCTAGTGAAAGCTAAATATATGTGTGTGAGTCACGTGGGTTAGAGCTTGTGTAGTAGCTTCAATATCTCTTGCTACAATGTCTTACTAATTGCGCTACTATTATTTCACCCGTCTCAATGCAATTTCTTCAAAAACATAATAATAATTAATTATATCAATCAGACTCTGATTTCTCTATTAGAAAAAGCATCTGTATAGTGATAACTGTAAAAAATCAATGAATATATATAATATCTGATAATACAAGATATTCTCAGTACTCTAGTCTCTCTTGATCTTCTTCAAGTCAATCTTCTCAACAAATTTCTCAAATGCTGATCTTGTTAATAATTTAATGAGATCATCAGCTACATTAACTGTGAAATCAATATGTTTCATGATAATATATTCTTTTTCAACCAGATCTTGAAGAATATGATATCTTATCTCAATATAATGTGATTAATGTGTTAGAGATTCTTCTCTTGCTAGATTAACTACACTCTTATTATCAACTTATAGTCTTAAACAGATCTTTGTCTTTTCATTCACTAATTCAGTATTATATAATATATCACTCAGTCAGATAATCTCACAAGCTGCTTCACTAGCTGTAATATATTCAGTCTCTGTAGTTGATTTGATGATAGATGTTTATCTCTGTGATTGCCATGATATCAGTGATTCATTTATAAATATAATATAGTCAGTTATTGATTTATATTGAGAATATGCTTCTACTCAGTTTGAATTATAATATATAACAGAACTCAAGTTATCACTCTCTTTCTTATATAATATACTATAGTTCTTGATCTTCTTGATATATTGCAGAATATGTTTCAATGCTGATCAACATTTCTTATACAGCTGTGAGTTGAATCTTGAAAGATAGTTAACTATGAATACCAGATCTGATCTGCTGCTTAATATCAGATATTATAAGAATTCTAATCCTTGTTGATACTGTATAACTGTAAAATCATCATCTAAATTATCACTCTTATCAGATGAGAAGTTAATACATATTTCTGCAGTTATTAATATACTGACTGAGTTCATCTTATTCAGTTCAAAATTCTCAAGAATTTTCTCTATGTAGTGACTCTGTGTCACTGTCATATTCTTATTTTTCAGACAGTTAACTTTCATTCTCAAATATGACTTATTCTTATTAACACTCTTTATCTTGAACTGCTTAGCTATTTTCATCAATATTCAGTTCAGTTACTGCTTCTAAGAGTCTGTAACTCAGCATTATCAATATACAATGTCAAGTATATCTTATGAATAGAGTGATATAGAAAGCTGTCATCATAGTGTGATATCTTGAATCTCAATATAGTAAGATATTCTGTGATAAGAAAGTATTATACTCTCACTACTTACTTCATTTCATATAAGCTCTGTCAAAGTAGTCTCACTAAAGTGTCTCTATCATGTCTCACATCTGTTGACAGTTGTATATAGATAATCTCATTCACTGAGAGAGTTTCATTCAAAAATGCTGATATATAATCAATTGATTTAACTTTTCATTCATTGATAGTTGATATAGTAAATACGCTATATAATGTTGATTCGGATATCACTGCAGTATATGATTTTGTATAATAAATATCTTATTTCTGCAGAAAATCTCTAATCACTCAATGAGTCTGAAATTAGATAGTTTATTCTTTATTATTCAGTTTCTGATCAAACACTCATTTTTCTGATAGAATATTCATATCTGATATTCTCTTAACAATAATGTATATCTTCCATTATTCAAATATCTTGACTTTTCTCTGTATAATCTCATATCAATAGTCTTAGTCAGAGCTTCTTTTGACTTCTGTAAGTATGATTGAACAGTCAGTCAGAGTACTAAGAACAGAATCATCTTCATTGACAAGATCTTCTATCTTCTCATCATTGATAAGCTGTGTATCATTATTCAAGAAATAGACTGAATCAATAGCATCTTTCAGATTCTTATTGACAATTATCTTCAAAGTATCTGACTTCTTCTTAGCTAGGTATCTCAATAAGCAGTGTTATCATTCTTTGTTAGCATCTAGAACATCAAGCTCTTCTGAAAAATCAACAGACTTCTTGACTGTGTTAACAGACTCCTTGACCGCGTTGACAGGTTCAGTCAGTTTTATATTAAAATCCTCATTAAAGACAACATCATGTGTGATTTCCAGGTATTATCTTACAGAATCTCATAGGTAATATTGATGTAGTCTGTGATAACTGACTAGCTGTTATTCCTTGTCATCTGTTCTATTTCTAAGTTTGCTAGACACTTTTAAGTCTTTTTTGTAGATCTTGCACTCTCATTTATGTATTCAATGAATTAGGAATTGTATCTCAGTTCATACTTTAAAAGGTGTAAGTAGAGACTCATCAGTACATTTAAATAACTTAATTAATATTGAGAATGTATTGATTATCATGATTGCAGCTTGTATTATCTCTCTTCAAAGATCTCTTTTCAAATCACTATTAAATAGTAGACTTCTTGTCTTTTCAGTAATAATACAATTAGCACATTTCACAGAATCATTGAATTATGATGTATCAGATGTGATTATCTTATAAGTAATCTTTTTAATCTGATAATAGATCTTAAGATTTTAACTTATAAATTCTCTTTCTTTATCTCAATGAAGAATTTCAATTCTTCACTGTGTAGTTGTCCCTATACTTATTATAAAGTTCATCAGCTTTGCTGTTGATTCTTCTTTCAATGTCATTAAAATTGTTTATTAATAGCACATAGTATTATCAGTAATTCTTAATCAGTAGCTTACACTCTCTCTTGAGAGTATGTCTTTCTCATCAAAGAGAGTTTTCCCCTCTTTTACTAAATCAATAAAGAGTCTCATCACTGATTTGATGACTCTTATCATAGATTAAAAGATTGAATATGTTATCTTGACTTGCAGACAGACCTTGCAAAACAGTAGAGCTTGTTATTTACAAATTCTCATTTCTAGATATGAGTCTGTCATTATTTTGATGATATCAGTTAAATTGAGATGTCTGAGTTTCTGATGTCATTTCATTATTGTATATTTCACAATCTTTATATCACTCATCTGTGATAATGTTAATATTGTATCATTATTCATTTTCTGCATGGAGTTTGCAGGTGTGAGACTATCATCAGATATAGAAAAATGAATCAGATCTCTGTAAATGATTAGCTTTTTCAACTCATAGATATCTTTATCATTTAATCTTGTGATAAAAGAGAACATTCTGTCAGAAGACACAAGTAAGATAGTGTGATTATTCTTATATATTAATTACTTAAAAGTGTATTCTTGCTGTACAAGCTTGCTCAGGCTGATAAGATTAACTTTCAAATTTGAGATATAACAGACATCATTCAATATCATATTTATCTCTTCAACTGATACGCTTATGTTCTCAACTATCACAGCAGAGACTTTGATTTCATCTGTTATTATCAATGACAATTTAACATTTCTCTTTTCCCTTATAAGAGAATCTCTATAAGGTGTGATATGAGTATCTGATTCAGAGTTCAATATTCAAGTATTTTTTGTGAAGTTATTGTCTGAAGAAATCTCATCTCTTAAGCAGAATATTTGTTTCATAACACTGTGAACAGAATCAGTTTCAGTATTGCTATTATTCTTGTTCTTATTCTTTCTGAGAGTATTAAAATTGATAGAATACTTCTCAGAGTATTTCTTTCAGCACTCATTCTGAATATAACTAACTCTGTCATAGTAATAGCAGATTCTCAGTACACTTTCTCTGTATTCTGATCTGGAGTCTGTACTCTCATTGTTACTTTTCATGTTATCAGTTGTATTCATTATCACATTCTTCTGAACTTCTCTCATTGCAGGGAGAAATAGCAGAATATCTTGACAAAGACTCATAAAGTCAGTCTCAAGAGATTGACTATCATTCTTATTAATCTGATTCATTCAGTTTCTGATAAATAATACTCATATCTCACTCACTTCAGTGAGCAGGCAGTCAAAAAACATGTAGTTCACAGTCTTAAACTTTAAATATATATATTCAGTCTGTATAGTAATTAAATGTTTGATAAAGATCTGATCAGAGTTCTTAGTCTTAGCAGACAGAGTCATGATTTCTCTATACAATCTTGTTCTTCTAACAGCAGGCTGTTCAGTGAAATTCTTCTCTATAATCTTTCACAGAGTGTAGGCAGATAGCTCAGATTTCTTTAATACTGTAAAATAAGACTTCATTTGTAAAGTAATTATGAATCACATATGATTATACAGTTATATATTACATTCTTCTTAAAATTGTTGTATGTCATTACTCACATTCTCTATAGAACTGATTTGCTTCTTATCAATGATATCAATTATACAGAACTACTTCACAGTCAGCAAGATTTCTTTCTTTCACATTGAATAGTTCTCAGAGTCTGTAAGAATAACTGATTTTCTGATGTATTTAATCTGATTCTGAAATTCTCTTAAAACTTTCATCAGAGTAGATGTTCTTTCTTATTTCTGTAGAAACTGTGTCAGATCTGCACTGACAGTGTTATCAGTATCAGTCAGAGTCTCACTCACTCTACTAGTTTTCACTCATTCAATTTCCTGTTGAAGTTTCATTGTCTTCATCTTTACATAATTTATCTCACTCGCAGAAGTTGAATCATATAGATCATTCTCTTGAGTTGACATTCTGATGATGTATGAGACAATTAAATCTGTAAAATCTCTATTAAAGTCAATTGTTATAGATGTTATCAAATTAACTGTTATTCTCTGTTGCACTTTCAGTGCTTCTGAATTTCATTTTCTTCACACTGGCATGTATTTCTTTGTTAAATCTGTCATTCTACCAGATCTCAAATTA